TTTGTGGTTGCCTAGTGTGATGGGCAGGGGGGGCTTGAAGGACAGTGAGAAGATGACACGCCCTCTCTCTCTTTGTCCACCCTGTCTCTCCCTAGGCCCTGTACCCTACCCGACCGTTCCTCCTGTGGACCCATCCGCCATCCTGCTGCAGCCCATGGAAATCCGCGGCTTTGTGGTCTCAATCCAGTGGAAGGAGGACTCCCTGGGACACCCTGTCCAGGCCTGAGCTGTCTGCTGCAGGGGAAATCAGACTGCCTCCTTGTTTCTCCTTGCTGCCATCCACCAATGCCATTAAAACGACACTGCCAAGACTCAGGTCCCCATGGAACTATCAGTGGAAAGGGATGGGAAAGTAAGTTTCCAAGTGTGCACCCAACTGGCTTGTGGGATGGGCTAACGAAGGAGGCAGGGCAAGACTCAGGTCCCCATGGAACCCTAAACAAATCCTAACCCTAATAAAATTCTAACTGTAACCCTAACCAAACACAACCCTAGCCATTACCTAACCCTGACCCTGACCCTTGGCCCGAACACTTGACTTCAGTCACATCCTAAAATGAGCCCTGGGAAACGGTTTTGACTCGGATAGTTGGGTCTTGCCACCAAGGTGGGAGTACCTGAACTGAAGTACCACCGCCTGGCTTCCACTGCTACCACGCCCTGGACACTGTCCATATTTGGCAACTCAACAAGCAGATGGAAGCTCGATTTCTCTTTGGGTACTTTCACTCTGGATGTAAAGTTTCAAGGGGCTCACACCTAGGGAGTGACACAGGGAAGTCTGGGCATCCACCAATTTCTAGACCTACATACTCTTGTCTAGTATGATCTAAAAACTTCACAGTGACCTAAAATCGGTTCAATGCTTCAATCCATGACATCTTTTCCTGAAATAATTCCTGATACAAAATAACTAGCATTTACACAGCAATCGGCAAATTTTCTAACACCACCTGGCTGTCCAAGTCAACGTTGGTATCGGCCTGCGAGAAAAGACCCCACAAGTTCATGATGCAGTGCCCCCCACATCTGCCCACAACACAGAGGAAGGTCGAAGCATCTCAATGCCTATTGACATGTATGAGAGCTGAATGGGATGTGGGACAGACTGGACAACTCTGCTACACATGCTGGCAAGCACGAGAACCAGGGCATGGGCTGGACCTGGTGAGGGTTATTGAGAGTTGCCCCAAATAGGCTGCAGCTGCCACTGGTTTACGTGGCCAAGTGTATGGCGGGTAGGATTGGGATGGACCCCAGCACCCATTGGTTCCTGTAGAACGTAAGGCTGGAAACAGAACTGACCCAGCAATTGCAACCACCAGCATGTGCATAAGCTGATTGAGGCAACGGATTCTGCCGGCCCCTGTACTGGCAAGCACACACAAGAATCAGGTCTGGGAACACCTCAGCAAAGTTTCTTTGGGGATCCCTCCAACTGAACTGTAGATCTCAGACCCCCAACCATGAAGAGAAGTGCAGGTTCCATGGTTTGACCATGAAGTGCATGAGTGCAGTGACAACATATCCAGGTGCACACAGAGGATATGGCAATCCATCGGAACCTGCAGAGGACACCTGGTACCACAGCAGAGGACGAAGAATAGAACAAAGCAATCAACTACCCCAGCCATATGTTGGCAGTGAAAATCTGGGCAAGCTGACACTCTAAGGCAGACTACGTCAGCCACTAGATTCTGGAGAGTTCTATCGTGCTTGGAGTGGTGAGATTGGCAGCGATTCAAAACTGTTGAATTATCAAAACCACTTGAGCAAGACCCTCAGAGCATACCCCACATAGGGAACCCTGGGATGGGTGGGAGGCTGGGTGGGACTTCTCTCCTTATATCTCCCCTTCCCCCAGATACAGAAAATTTATGAAAATATGCGGTTAAGTAACAACAACAACAACAAAAAAACCCCAAAAAACAGAAGGCAAAGTTTTCTATAAGATTGGAATTTTAATACTGTTGGTTGTGTACCAATATTCTTTGATTCCGTTTGACCCTCTTCATGGTATGAGTTACACTTAAGGCCCTGAAATAAATTCAAATTTCTGAGGGTCAAGTTTTCCTATGTCCCGTGTTTAGCAAAAACAAAAAGAAAAGCATATCCAGAAGTGTACAATACCTGACAGAGGAAATCCAGGTGGTTCGACTTTTTTAAATTTATTGGCCAAATATTAGAAAGGACAGTTTGTTTAGTCACTGACTCATTTATATTTTCTCTACCATATTTCAATGCAAGCTACATGTTAAGCAGTAGTATAAATAAGCCCATAATGTCAGCATATGTGGGATCCTTGTGAATTTTTAGGGGTTAATAGATGAATCTTTTAGGTATTAATAGATTATTTGTTCGTTTTTATAAAACAATTTAAAAAATAATTTTAATATCTGAAAGGGAAACAGTTGGATAGTATTAAGATTTTTGATTTTTAAAAGTTATTTTCTCTCTAAATTCATTCTTTAAAAATACAGTTTAAAATATTTTTACTTATTTAGGGTATATAATAATTGATATATGTGCATAACGTGTGATAGCCAAACCATGGCAATCGCGTTTCCATCTCTTTAAATATTATTGTATATAAGTATTGAGAAACTTGTAACTATTTTGAGTTATCTAATAAACTATATTGTAAGTTATATCTTAAATTATTAACTACAACATAGAAGTCACAGGGTAAGTACAACAATAACCATCGCATTCAAAAAGTTAAAAATTAGAGAAATCACTTTTTTTTCCCAGGAGTAGAAGCAAGAATCAAATCTCAGGATGCTCTTTCCATTTTGAGAGTATTTTGTATTCAGCATTAACTATGACATATTATGGGAAACACATGATAATTGTCTTTAGGGAACTGGCTTGTCTCACTAAGCAAAACATTTTAAAATGAGAAACTAAATGGCAGCTATTTGCGATTGCCACAGAGCAGGAGAAGGAGAGAGAGGATTCCCCTGAGCCCTTCATGGTCTCTTGGGAAACACCTGCAAGAAACCTGCTTTCTGTCTTGGCCGGAGTCCCTTGGGCCTTAGATATCATGGATCTGTCTAGTGAGCAGGTGCCAGGAGCTGTAAGTAGCACCTCTGCTGTGGTCCCTCCGACTGTGCAACCTTGGGCTAGAAGCAGCCCGATTGGTGTATTTGGAGGAGCAGCCTGCTTGTTGCATTTGGTGTCCCAATTCTAGCTCAGGAACTGGAGCTTCTCTCTTTCCCTGTGTCGTGCTCGGGACAAAGCTTCAGCATCCACCATCCAGGGAGGAATTTGGGCTTCCACAACTGTCACCTTTCACCCACAATTCCCATGCAGGTGAGCCTGGCAGCCACTTCAGGAGGGGTCCCAGGCTGTGGCCACAGAGAGCTTTCCTTGGCGTCGGCCAGAAGCTGAGCTAACCAAGCAAACACACCAGACATGTCTGGGGTTGTTGCCTTGTTAACTAATGCTGGTTCTCCTAGGGCAATGGTGATTGCTGATGAAGAAATGAGGGTAAGAAAAGATCCATTCCAACAGACAACGAGAGGCATTCGTTGCCTGGAATAACTATAGCCAACTTTGTAGCATTTGGAGATTTGGGGAAATAGAGGAAAATTTTTCTGTGTGGAGGGACATGGAGTGAAGTCATATCAGTTTTTCAGTGTGAGGGAGCTTGGTTATTCACAAGCTCACTACTGATTAGAGGAGGGAAAGTGACAACTCATGGCCCTGGGACAGACTCTGCAGACTGAGTCCCCACCCTGCTCATTCTGGTTGTTAAGAGATGCAACTGATTGTCCTAGTATTAACAGGAAAAGGTCAGGTGTTGGGAAAGTCTGCAAAGAAATCCTGATATTAGCAGCTGCTGGAACACACACACATCTAACAGTCTTTGCTCTCATACTGTGTTCTCACATGACTCGATGTTAGTGATGCAGTAAGAAGAGCTCTAGGAGACATCAGCTTGATAGTTACTGCATCGCCTGTGAGCTGGATGCACTCAAGGGTTCCTAGCCACTTGCCTTTTCTCCTTCAAATCTGCAATTTCTTGGTTTGCTCTCCAGTGAGAGAGTTTTATTGCTGTCTTTATTGTCTTCCTACCTACGAAGATAGACCATTGTCGATAGCCTTATTTTCTGCCATGCAGTCATTGGATGTGTATTTGCGTGAACTTCAGTGCAATGAAAATAGGCATTTAGAAGGTAGGTTGTTAGGATGCAAAATGTATGCTGCAAAAATATCTTAATCCTTATTGATAAGGTGTCATCTAAACTTGGATAACTTTATAATTCACAACATGTGTGCACAAAAATAAATAAATCCGTTAGCTGCATTTTCCAAGACATTTGATGGACCTTCTTAGTAAAATTTAAGAGGACTTGTGAAAGCTGAGATTTTTCTGTTGTCAAAATCAGCAACTCGTCTTGGGTTCCAACTCTGCTAATGTTAAATCTATAAGAATTTGATTATGCAAACTGAGTCTCAAATGTCAGTTTTTAATACATTTCCAAATTGTTCCACGTTGAGTTGTTCTTATCGCTCGTCCTCCTTTGCGATTCCTCTTTGCTTTACGTGACTGACTCATTTACTGAGAGTCATAGCACGTCTACCTTCAGCTGCATGATTTGATTGAAGATCACCTCATCTTTCATAAACAGAATTGAATCCCGTTATCCCTTAAGATACGTGGAACTACCTATTTTACACTCTTTCTTCACCTGATTTCTTGTTCATGCACTTAATTGGAAAATAAATGGTGAGTTTGTAACTACTAATGAATAGATATTTATCAAATGGTGAAGGAATAACTCATTAGATGTGACAGGGAAGTATTGAGGGTGGGAAAGAATTCTTGGCCAGTGATCCCACTTGGGAGCAAATGGCAACTGAGCCATCTCCAGATGTGGGAGATATATTTTAAATGGGAAAATATGAATTTCGGATTTCTGCTCTGATGGCTACACCTATTTTGTATGAACATAATTCAGGTTCAACTATTTCTTCCTGCTGGTAATGTACACCACATGAAACTAAGAAACCAGACTCAGCCTTCAGAATTCCTTCTCCTGGGATTCTCAGAGGACCCAGCCCTGCAGCCTCTCACCTTTGGGCTGTTCCTGTCCATGTACCTGGTCACTGTCAGTGGGAACCTGCTCATCGTCCTGGCCATCCTCTCTGACTCCCACCTCCACACACCCATGTACTTCTTCCTCGCCAACCTGTCCATGGTGGACATCTGCTTCACCTCCACCACCGTCCCCAAGATGCTGGTGAACATCCAGACGCAGAGCAGAGCCATCAGCTACGCGGGCTGCATCACACAGATGTTCTTCTTCATCATCTTTGCAGGGCAAGAAAACTTTCTCCTCACCGTGATGGCCTATGACCGGTTTGTGGCCATCTGTCACCCTCTGCACTACACGGTCATCATGCATGCCCGGCTCTGTGTGCAGCTGGTTCTGGTGTGCTGGACCACCAATGTCCTGCATGGTTTCTTACACAGCTTTCTGGTGCTCAGGCTGAGCTTCTGTGCAGATCTGGAAATCCACCACTTTTTCTGTGAGTTGAATCAGGTGGTCCATCTTGCCTGTTCTGACACCTTTCTCAATGACCTCATGATGTATCTTGCAGCTGTGCTGCTGATGGCAGGTCCTTTGTCTGGGATCCTGTACTCCTACTCCAAGATCGTCTCCTCCATCCGGGCCATCTCCTCAGCTCAGGGCAAGCATAAAGCCTTTTCCACCTGTGCTTCTCACCTCTCGGTCGTCTCCCTATTTTATGGCACAAGCATAGGTGTGTACCTCAGTGCCAGTGCGGCCCCAAAATTAGCCTCAACTGCCATGGCCTCGGTGATGTACACAGTGGTCACCCCCATGCTGAACCCCTTCATCTACAGCCTGAGGAATAAGGACATGAAGAGGGCTCTGAAAAGACTGTTGTTCCCTAAATGATAGTGGAGCCCAGGGTTGCAGCTGGGCGTTGTCAGTGACTTCATGTCTCAAGCCTCAGGGTCAGACAAGGTGATGCATTTAGAAGGGGAGGAATGGAGCTTGCTTAGTCTGCTCACTGTTTTGGCTTTTTTTTTTTTGTGATTAATTTCTCTGTGTACACTGACAATGAAAGACCCATTGCATTGCGCTGCATGTGATCTTTGATAACACATGATTTCTCTCTGACTGTCCCTTATTTTCCCACATTTATTGTCAACATGGTTCCAGAAATGCAAGAGGACTTAAAGATTTCATGGAGAAATGGAAGTAAATTGGAGGCAGTCGGTGTGCTAAGCAACTTTTACTTTGATGTGTATCTTTTCAGTGTATATACTGTTTTTTATAGTTCATGCCTATAACATTTAAATATTCTCTTTTAACTACCACATAAATTTGTCTTTTTTAGGAATTGGCTTATTTCAATACACATAATGTCCTCCAGTTGCACCAAATTGATTGCAGAAAGACAAGGTTTCATTTGCTGTTTGATATTCCAATGTGTATGTATACCAGATGACTGTTGATGGGATGTTCATTTGCATGACCATCACGCATACCCCCTCGATTGCTTGAGATTGAGTATGCAGCACTGAAATTTCCACATTTCTCAGGATACAATTTCCTATCAAATGGCATCTTATCATACTATTCAATGTTCTGTTTCTTAGCTTCGTAGTTTATTCTTCAGATAACATACATGTAAGAGTCTTTAAAATAAAAGCTTTCTGAGGACACCTACTATGGCATGGGATGCCATTTGCAAAATTTTAGGGCAGGATGAAACTCTGATCTTTGTCCGTCATTCCTATGTGCATCCCACTCCCGAATAGCATAGACTTTGGTTCCGAGATAGAGTGTGTGAGTGGTCTGTTGGTTTTCTTCTCATCTAGGATCTGCCCTGGTAACCAAACATACAATCTGCATGCTCTGACATAAGTCATTGACAAGTATAAGACTTTGTTACAATCCAAAAAATCTCATCTCTGTCTCATCTCCAAAGAAGATCCTATGCAAATACATTGCGATTAAATGTATAAGAATCAGAAAACACCTCAAATAAAGGAAGAATGATTTTTCATTTTATGTGTCTTGTGTGTGGTACTCTTCTGCTCTCCTGTGTCTGAGTAGTTTGTATTGAAAGGGCCTTGTTGGCCAAATGGAAGCCCACACTGAGCCTGGCACTGGCCTAAAACCCAATGGCATGTACAAGAACTGGGTCTTGGAGTGGATCAGGTGGAGGAACTTGGGAAACTCCTTGGTGAGTCATAGCTTCCACTGGTGAACATGTGGTCCAGACCTGGGCATCAGACAAACTGGGCAAAGTAGCTCCAACAGCTGGCTAATGTGTCAGTTGGTAATGGAATGGGGTGTACTGGGCAGGACTTAGCCCACGAGCGAAACTAGAAACCAGGATGGAGCACAAGTCATGCTGAACTAGGCTCTTGCACCTACTGGTCTGCATGAGCCAGGGACGCTAAGCCACAGTGTCTAAGACAGAGGTCAAGACAGGTGAGGGGCTGTGCCAAGGTGAGTCAGAGCAACCACTGGCATGCGTGTGATCTATAGCTGGGAATAGGCCCAGTTGGGAGCTAAGGGGACACCCTAGCTGGGCTGAGGTTCCCATCAAGGGGAGCATGAGCTGGAATGGGGGCTGTGTTCTGATTAGGAAACAGTTGTAGTCTCCCCTGGCACAAGTGTGAACTGGGACTAGACACACCAAGCCAGGCCAGACTCTAACACCATCTGGTGCTCTGGAGAACCAGGGTAGCTGTGGGACAGACTACGCCGGGTCTCAACCCCTACTGAGCTATGTGTCAGCCATATGTGGGTATGGATGAGCCGTGGCTGGGCTGAAACATCCAACAACAAGAACCAGTCAGGAAAAACCACTGTTTCTGCTAGGACAGGAGGTAAACTGAGTAGAGCTGGCTCATGGACCCCCTGGCATGCGTGAAATCTGACATTAGGAGAGGTTATGATGGAGGAGCCTGGGCCTCCTCTGGCAGGACACAGACCCAGCAGGTAAGCACAAGAAGCATGATAAGAAACAGCCCAGAACAGGCCATGGTAAGTTTCCCACTGGCATGGGTCAGGGGCAGACCAGGTTGAATCAGTTCATATCATCCACTGGCAAATCCGAGCACCAGAACAGAGTGTGGGTCAAGCCAGGTTTGGCCGCAACAAAAACCAGTGCACAATACGGAATGCCAAGGTGAAGTTACCTGTACCGGATATGACTGCAGCACCCAACCAGCATGCATGAGAACCAGGAAGGGAGGGGCGGTGCCAGCAGGGGGAATATGGGGAAGCTCCCTGGCTGGATGGCTACTCCCACTGGAGAGCATGAGCTGGGATGGGGGCAGACCAGACTAAGCAGGGCTACGATACCTGTGGGCCTCATGTAGACTAGATCAGGGAAATGACAGGCTGGGCTGATTATTCCTACGGGCACAAACAAAATTAGAGTGGGTGATGGTTGTTTGGGCTTAGCTGCAGCATCAGCTAGCAAAAGCTGGCACTGGGGGCTAATTCTGTCAAGTCAAACCACAGAACCACCTGAAGCATGCCAATAAATTTTTTTAAAGAAGGAAAAGCAGTTTACCGATCCTCTCAGGAACTGTATTCCATTTACAAACCAACGTGTGGGCCTCAAAAGATCTAGTATCGCTGGATATTCTCTAAATGGACAAAGCTGTAGCTCAGGGATGGGCAAATATGGTGCATAGACCTCTGAGAGGCTGGTGACCACAGGGAAGGTGGAACTAAGCCCTGGTTCAACCTGACCTCTTGCCTGTACTCATAGGAGAAGACAATGAATGGGACTTTCTTTCAGCCCAAACCAGCAACGCTCAGGGAAACCAAGTGTTCATGGCTGGAGTAATAAAAGGCAATGAGCCTAATGAGCCAACAGGGAGGCCTCCATCTATGCCAGCTGCCCGTCAGCCCAAGCAACGATGGCCAGCACAGGACCTGGTGGGTGCGAGCCTCTGGGAGCTGAGTCTGGCTCAACAGCAGATGCTTTGCTGCCTCGCACTAAGTTGCCACCTGGGAGGAATCAATGCTTCCACACAGCTACCTTCCTCCAGTGCTTTCCCAGGCCACAAGCCGGGAGCTGGGTGGGAAGTGGAGCTGCCGGGACTTGAACCAGTGCCCACATGGTGGTATTCTGGCACATACAAGGGGAGGATTAGCCAGCTGAGTCATTGAGCCAGGCCCTTGATCACTGTTAAACCAACGAATGAATGGATGGATGAATCTTCAGCGTGTTGACTGTATTATTGCTTCTTCTCTCCCATGATCTAGCTATTTAAATCCTCCTTACCTCACAGACAACCAGGAAATGAGCCTTTGCAGCAATGTCCACATGAATAAAATTGTGGTCATGGAGACAGAGCTCCTTGATTTTACCAGAAAGTGCTGAATGGCAACTGGCGAATGTTAGCAATGTGAATTAAGCCTCATTAGCTGTTTTAAAAACTTGAATAGAAAATACATGTGTTATTGTAAGAGCTTAGAATAACCGCTTGATTCTGCTTCTGTATATTACTTTTTGCTAGACAAATGTGAAGCTGTTTTGTGACAAGTTCCAGTTTCCAGGAATGAGCAAGGCAGCTGCAGAAATAGAAAAGGCTAAAAGAGCAAGGCAGTTACAGCAGGAATGTGAAGGACAAGAAAGCGAGGCAGTTACAGAGAGATAAAGAGTTCGAGAAAGTACCGGGTCTAGTCCTAAAAGCGAGGAATGCAGACTGTCAACAGTGGAGAAAGTGCAGACTGTTAAACAAAGTTAAGGGACCCCTCCCCCCTCCGGGCTTTCTAATCTCAAAGTGAAGACTGCCGGCTGTTATGCAAAGTTTGCGGTTTTGTCCTTTTAAGAGGTGCTTTAACCTGCTCGGGGCACGCAGACTCCTGGGTGTCTCCAGAGACTCGGTCGCCCATTCGCGAATGATCAATAAAAATCCTCGTGCTTTTTACAGCCTCTTGCCGTGACTTGTCTTGCCGAACGGGGCGGCTCCACTTCCACGGGGTTGGACTCTCCCTGAGTCTAACATAGAATGGTCCATAGTGAGAGCTCTGCATGTTAGAAAATGGCTTAGAAAATGGGGGGCGATAAATGAAATTTTGGGGATTCCTAATGAGTCATGTTTCTTTTTTTTCTTTGTATTTTTAAGAGAATTTGTTTTTCGCTTAGTCACGACTCTCTCTGAAGGACTTTGCATCTTGTGAGAATTTCGGAGATCACACCATGAAACTAGCCGACTTCCAATGGACAGCCCAAACCAATTCAGAGTTTGAGTCAAGATTTTAAATAACGATCTTTTAAATCCTACTTTTTAAAAATTAAGTGGACGAGTGCAGTTCAAATTAAGTAACTGAACTCAAAAAATGTGATGACAGTTGACATTATTTCTGCAGGAAGATGTTGGACACTCTTTTGCACCAACCTAGCGCCACGTTGATACCTCTGTTACAAATTCGACAACACCATCATAGAGAGGAAGGCTTGCTATTTTATTTGTTTATTTATTTTCTTCTCAACACGTGGTGGACTGTGCCTAAAGGGATGTATAATGGAAACATAGTGAAAATAAATATGTCCATAGGTAGAAACAGAGAGAAGCACGTCCCCGTGCATGCCGTACAGGGATGGACTCACAGTGAAACGACAGGTCATCTCCTACGCTGGTGGGAGGCTCCTCAATGGCAGTGTGAGAGACTTCTGAGGGCACACGCAAGGCATCCATCGAAAGACTGGAGGGGAGAATGATGGGGTGGTGGGGAGGCAGGGGAAAGCTCAATGCCTTCTAAACTGTAAACTGTGTCATAAAAAAAAAAAAATTTACTGCAGGAAAACTGTGGCTAGTGCTACCAAATTCCCAGTACTAACAGCCTTTTCTCTACTACAAATACTGCCGATGACCTTGACGGCCGTGTGTGTGTCTATCTATAAAAGCAAAAAACAGACAAACATGCATGTGCCTGTCAGGTAAACAAGAGCATTATGATGACATGTGATAAGCATTATCCCTATAACATATGTACCATCCTATGAGAAAATGGATACTAGGAAATATTTCTGTTCCAATGTCTGGAAACATATTTAGAAATAAAGATTGAATGGCTCATACTGAAAATAACAAGCCTTAATGTTATAATGCTATAAGCCTACACAGAGAGGATGAAATGAAGCATTGTAGACGCCCAGGAACAGACAACAGCCCAAGTTCTACTTTTGCAATGTGGTCAGAAAAATCACAGTTTTGCTTCCGAGAATAGAAGCCTACAATTATAGAAACTTGCTGAGCTATGCAGACATGGATCCTCTTAGGGTTCACCCCGCCCCAAAGAGTTTTTTCAGGGCCCTCTTGACATCTTTATTCCTCAGGCTGTAGATGAAGGGGTTCAGCATGGGGGTGACCACAGTGTACAACACCGAGGCTCTTGCAGTGGAGTGTGAGTCATGGGTTAGAGCAGAATTAAGGTACACACCTAGACCAGTGCAATAAAATAAGGAAACAACGCAGAGGTGAGAGGCACAGGTGGAAAAGGCTTTATACTTGCCCTGAGCTGAGGAGATGGCCCGGATGGAGGAGACGATCTTAGAGTAAGAGTACAGGATCCCAGCCAGGGGGCCTGCTGCCAACAATATGAGTGTAATATACATAACCATGTCATTAAGGAAGGTGTCAGAACAGGCCAGTTGAGCCACCTCATTCAGCTCACAGAAATAGTGAGGGATTTCCACAGCTGTGCAGAAGGTCAGCCGCAGCAGCATCAAGCTTTGAAATATTGCATTCAGAACACTGATAACCCAGGCAACAAGAAGCAGCTGCGCACAGAGCCAGGGGCTCATGATGACCGTGTAGTGCAGGGGGTGACAGATGGCCACAAAGCGGTCATAGGCCATCATCAGTAGAATGAAGTTGTCCAACTCCACAAAAAGCAAGAAGAAGTGAATCTGTGTGATGCAGCCCGCGTAGCTGATGGCTCTGCTCTGCGTCTGGATGTTCACCAGCATCTTGGGGACGGTGGTGGAGGTGAAGCAGATGTCCACCATGGACAGGTTGGCGAGGAAGAAGTACATGGGTGTGTGGAGGTGTGGGTCAGAGAGGATGGCCAGGACGATGAGCAGGTTGCCACCCACTGTGCCCATGGAGGTGGACAGGAACAGCCCAAAGATGAGAGGCAGCAGGGCTGGGTCCTCTGAGAGTCCCAGGAGAAGGAATCCTGAATGTTGGGTTTCATTGCCTGGTGCCATTTGCTTCAGATGACTACCAGCTGAAGGTAGAAAAAAAATGGCAATTTCATACACGTTCATCATACAGCTAAAATACTAAGATCTAGTTTTAGCAGTCGGAAAACTCAGGTTGCATGTTGTGTGTGGATGAAACCCATTTAGAGGATTTGCTATCAGTACAGTTTTGTGTTGGGCTATTGCCTTGTCTACTGTTCCAGTTCCACTTAAAAACTTTCCCTTACAGGCTGTGGCTAATGGCTCAGTGAGTCGGGCTGCTGTCACTGTGGGAGACGTGGAGTCCTGGGCTCCAGGCTCTCGCTGGAGTTTGAGTGTCACAGGTGCTAGGGAGTGACCCAGAATTCATGAACACTCTCTCTTTTCCGTCTCTGTGCATCTCACTATAAATCTATCAAATATGTATCTATAGACAGGTAATTAGAAGATTGGTAGAAATATAGAGAGACAGATATTCTCATGCCTTTTTGTCCCCCCACAGCCACCTTACATTTTTTTTTACCTCCTCCTTAATCCCAAAGACATTTGGATCTGTGATCAGCTTTTTTCGGAGCCACTTTCTGCTCCATTCCCTACCCTGTCTCAGGTGACAACCGTCCTCTCGCTGTCAACAGTGAGTCCTCTGTTATGAGTTTGAAAGGTCATGGTTCATTACCGCCACAAATGTGTGCAATCAGTGGTTATTGGGTGAGCAAACCCCGGCACTAACCTTCACAGTGAGTAGACTGCACCGGCCATGCACCGGCCTCAGGTAAGCGTGTTCGCCCTCTTTTTCTTAGAGCTAGACCTCTGGGATTCTGAGACACGCCTGCTTAGGTTCTCCCAGCGTCCACTTCTATATGGACGTGTGACTGTCCCCTGATGATGGACACTGATGATGGGAACTGAGCGCTGTCACGGACAAGGCAGCAAGAAGGAAGGCGTCCCTGCGTCAGAGCAAGACTCCAAACACAACCACCACATCCAGTCCAGCCCTGGGTACACTCTGACAGCAACACAAGGTGAATTTACAGCCCGTGTCTCTTCTCATTAAGCACATCTCCCTCGTGATGTTCCACCCTCAAAGCGCCTGATGGCCCCGTGGAGAACGTGGTCTGGGCAGGAGCAACCATTCCTGCTGAATCTGCGTTCCCAGGGGAGCAGCTGGGAAGACTGGTGACTCTGTTCTGATGATTCCTTCTGTGTCATCATCGCTCCCTCCCACAGGTCAGTCTCCTGGGAGTGCTGCTGTGCTGAGCTGAAGTTCTCTTCCGTGCAGGATGAAAAGTATCTTGACGAGGTCTCCAACGTCTTCCACTCGAGGATTCTGATGGGGACGTGTCTGCGGGCACTCCGGATGATTCTTCACTTCTTGAGAGTTAGAATCCTTATGACAGGAGCAGCACTGTCCTATTGTTTGTCGTTGTGGAAGGACTGTGAATGTGTTATTTGTTTGTATATTTTTTTTTTCACTTGACCGATCATTTGGGGAGGGAGAGATGTGATGTTTCTGCACATGTACGCATTGCACATGATCCAGTCACCTGCCCATCCTTTGGTGCAAACACGGATTATTCCTTTGACTTGGACACAAAATCCTCTCTCAGAGCTGTGTTGGGTTACCCAGTGTATTGGTGTTACCTGTCATCAACTTCCTGACACCAGAACCTACTCCCCTTGTGCACCCAAGAATGACCTCTGCCCATTTCCGCTCCAGCACACACTCGCTGCCCTGTCCTAGCACTGTATCCCACCGTTCACTTCGAGGAAATCAGCTGACTCTGCTTGAGTGAGACCGTGTGGAATCTGCCGTTCTGTGCTTGGCTGATTTCAGTTCTCACGATGTCTTCCAAAAGGATGGAATTTCATTTCTCTGTATGACTTCAAAATCTTGTATGTACCATGATGCAAATTTCTAAAGGCAAAGAATCACGGAGATGTACAGAAGCAGAAGTTTCCATCCATTGGTTAGGCTTGCAACAGCCCAGGGAGCTGGGCTGTGTGTGGGGGGGGCAGACTCTAGTATATACATGGTATTTTCCAGTGTTTGGCAAAACAAACAAAAAAACAAGAAATGGCATTGGGATCCCAGCAATTAGAACTTGAAAACCCTTCAGGTATCGCAAAGTGCAGGGAGCTTAACGAGTGCACTGCATATTGGAGCAACAGTTAGACAACTGGAAACTCGGTGTAATGTATGCAAGAATGTTCCAGTTGAAGAAGCACAGCATGAGACTCTGTGGGATGGAGTCTCGTTACTACGGAAGCAACTTCAGTCCCAGATCAATGTACTCACTGACGGTGTCCTTTTTAAAATATTTATTTATTTATTTATTTATTTATTTGAAAGTCAGATATACAGAGAACAGGAGAGACAGAGAGGAAGCTCTTCTGTCTGTTGATTCACTCCCCAAGCAGCCACAACAGCTGGTAGCTGTTCCGAAGCCAGAAGCCTTTTCCAGGTCTCCTATGTGGATACAGGGTCTTTGGGCCGTCCTCCACTGCTTTCCCAGGCCACAGGCAGGGAGCTGGATGGGAAGTGGGGCTGCCAGGATTAGAACCGGCGCCCATATGGGATCGCGGGCATGCAAGGCGAGGACCTTAACCACTGCGCCATCACACCAGACCCAACAATGTCCTTCTTAAAGAGTCTCTTCAGAGCTCTCTTCATGTCTGTGTTCCTCAGGCTGTAGATGAAGGGGTTCAGCATGGGGGTGACCACGGTGTACATCACCGAGGCCATGGCAGTGGACTGTGGATTGCGGGTTGCTGCAGAACTAAAGTACACACCCAAGCAGGTGCCATAAAATAGGGAGACGACCGAGAGGTGAGAAGCACAGGTGGAAAAGGCTTTATACTTGCCCTGAGCTGAGGAGATGGCCCGGATGGAGGAGAGGATCCTAGAGTAGGAGTATAAGACCCCAGAGAGAGGACCTCCACCCAATAGCACTGCTGCAAAATAGATGACCACATCGTTAATCAAAGGTGTCAGAACAGGCGCTGTGGACCACCTGGTTCAACTCACAGAAGAAGTGTGGGATTTCCAGATCTGCACAGAAGCTCAGCCGCAGCACCATGAAGCTTTGCAACAGGGAATGCAGAGCGCTGATGACGCCAGAGACCACAAGCAGCTGCGCACAGAGCCGGGGGCTCATGATGACCGTGTAGTACAGGGGGTGACAGATGGCCACAAACCGGTCATAGGCCATCACGGCCAGCAGAAAGTCATCCAACCCTGTGAAGAATGTGAAGTAGAACATCTGTGTGATGCAGCCCACGTAGCTGATGGCTCTGCTCTGCGTCTGGATGTTCACCAGCATCTTGGGGACGGTGGTGGAGGTGAAGCAGATGTCCACCATGGACAGGTTGGCGAGGAAGAAGTACATGGGCGTGTGGAGGTGGGAGTCAGAGAGGATGGCCAGGACGATGAGCAGGTTCCCACTGACAGTGACCAGGTACATGGAGAGGAACAGCCCAAAGGTGAGAGGCTGCAGGGCTGGGTCCTCTGAGAGTCCCAGGAGAAGGAATCCTGATGGCTGTGTTTCATTGCCTGGTTCCATTTGACTGAGATTGACTACCAGCTAAGGGAAAAATAGAAAGACTTTTTTTTTTTAATTAATTATATGGCATTATATGACACAGTTTCATAGGCTCTGGGATTCTCCCTACCCGTCCCCAAACCTTCCCCCTGTGGTGGATTCCTCCACCTTGTTGCAGTTTACAGTTCAAATTCAGTCAAGATTCTTACATTGCAAACATATACCAAACATAGAGTCCAGCATCTCATTGTCCAGATAATTCATCGGTTTCTTGGGGAGACCATCTCTGGTCTGACGGTAGGCCAGCAGAGTATCATCCCAATCAATTAAAAGCCCCAGCATAACATCAACAACAATTTACAACATTACGGAATTAATTGGCATGGTATTGAGTGACCAATATGTTAAAAAGATGCAAGTACTTAACCACATCCTGTGCCTACTTCATTGACATTTCAATTTGAGTTTATATACAACCAGCTTCTGTACACCATTAAATGGCAATAGGGTACGATTCAGCTGTCTTGTGTCTATTTTCATTTTAGTATTTAGCAGTTTATAGTGTTAATTATCATGTTTATAGTATAATTTTGCTGAACCTGGCAGTTTTTAAGGTAGTCTAAACTGGCTTATAACTCTAACAAGGCACATGTCAACAGTTTAGGTGCAGAACAGTTTTAGGAGGGGTGTGCAGAGAAATCTCCAATACCCTAGTGAGGAGTAACTAATCATTTGTGTCCTACCTGGTAAGGTATATGTGAATCCACGCTGACCGTTTCCTGTCTGATTCTAAGCTTTTCTTGTTGTTCTCCGTCTATCTATTCCAGTTTGTTTGTTTGTTTGTTTTGAGGGGTTTCCGGAGCGATCCTGATGGGACTGTATCTCATGCAGTAAGATATTGTGATGTAACCAATGAATGTACAATCAATGTGAGTCAGACTGCTTATGATCAACATCAAAGAATTGTAAAACCTGATATACTTTTAAGACCCTAAGCGACTTGGAAAGAGGGGCGGGAGAGCAGAGAAATCTTCCATCTCCTTAGAAAATGTGAGGAAAACGTGAAGCATAACCTATCAGGAACATAACAGATATCTTGTAGACAACAGACTCGAATCAGCGTTAGACAATAGTAAAACTACAAAGACATATGGGGGGAATTAGGAGCGATCCTGACAACCTCTTAACAGGAGATCATATGCACAAAACAGAGTGGGGGACCCCAGACTGGAGCAGGTGGACAGGAGGAGGCTTGTATCCCAACCCTGAAGACTCCCAGATAATCACCAAGGACTATTGGCCAGCAAGGACTACACCCCAACTGCCAAGGAGACCATGGGGAAGTGCAGTGCCTTCGGAGGTCAAGAACTCTAAGGACACCCACCCCAATCTGGATCTACCACACAGGATGGAAGAAGCCCAAATCCTTCCTTGCAGGATCCAAGGTCATAAGAACGACAGCCAGGAGCCCGAAGCATTCTGCAGAAA